GATTTGAAATTATTCATTTGACAACAACTTCTATCAGCGACAGTTAACAATTAAATATAACTGTAGGGCCATCTGTTGAACATTACAACATCTGTTCAACAGATGGCGCTGCAGTTTTATTTCATATTTCCTTAAATCTCGCTGATGTAGTTTGGTCTCAATTTAACTTTTTGGGTGACCCCAAGAACTGTCGTTGGTACAGTCTCACGCTTCGCCATCTGTGGAGTAATGTCCAACAGATGGCGCTTTTTATTATTTCATACGAATGTGAATACTATGGAAGCGGGCGCATGCTTCGCCATTTGTGAAGCAATGTTCAGCAGATGGCGCTACTTTTTTATTTCGTATGAATACGAATACTATGGAAGCGTGGGACTCAACCCTCATCCGCACTTGGGATCACGCAGGAAGTTAATAACTTGAGATCCTGCTAAATCAGCGAGAGTAAAGAAGAAAATATTTAAAACTGTAGCGCCATCTGTTGAACATCACTCCACAAGTGATTAACTTTCTTCAGAGGAGCGGTTCGTACAGCCCGATAAGATACTAAGACGCTACATTTTAACTACACTTTGTGGTTTTCCATAAGGTTCAAGTCCACATATGGCGCTACAGTTTTAAACATTTCACGAAGTGAAGTCTGAGACAATCGCCCAAGCGCGTTTTATTAGAATCCACATGGGATTAAAAAGAAAAAAAAATTGGCCCGCCTCCGCCCTCCATCCACCCGCCCTTGGGGGGGGGGGGACTTGAACTTATTCATTTGACACCAACTTCTATCAGCGACAATTAACGATTAAATATAACTGCAGGAAAAACATTCCATTAAGCTCTATGCCTAACCGCACCTGTTAATTTAAGTCGTATTCAGGAACAAGATAATTGGGCCATTTGTGGTGTATATACCTGCCTAATGCCATTTGTCTTCGCGATAACAGACCACAAGACGATATAAACTATACGGGGGGATGTATCTTCGCGGAAGGCCTATGTATTCATTTGTTTTACGATTACTTTAATTTTCCCGTTGCGACTATTGAGACCTTAAACGATGTGATCAACGTAAATATTTCCTTAGCTTAAAACTGCTGCAAGGCATGCACTGTCTTCGCTCGCTCGGAAGCCGAGATCGTGGGTTCGAATCCCACTCAAGGCATGGATGTTCGTGTTCGTTTTTCTGTGTTTGTGTACAGGTAGAGGCCTTGCGACGAGCTGATCACCCGCCCAAGGAGTCCTACCATATGTGTAAGATCTAGAAAAACCGAAGTGAACGGAGTTCATGAAGGTAGGCCTAGGCCCACTGGAGCTGTAGTGCCAGGGAAAAAAAAAAGAGCTGATGCACAGACGCAAACGTAGAATCAATTATAAATGTACTGTGTCCTTGAATTTTCATCCTTAGTAATGCAATGCCCGTAAGTAGTGTTGATCAACACGTCTTGCAGCTTAAATATGTATGAACAACAACGCCAATCATTTTAAACAACCTCTTCTGAATAAGTACAATTTAAAATATATTTGTGTCTGTTCTAATTAGGAACGGATTTCTCTTGACTCAAGTCTATAAAAACAGGATTCCTGTATTAATTTTGTCGCGTGTTTCCAAGGTAACGCGAAAAGAAATTTTGTGGGTCTCGGATTTGGAAGAATATTTCTTGGACGGTCACTCTTTACACTCGCAGATACAATTATTCGGACTTATAACGTCCTCGGACGTTTCCTCTTCAGTGTTATACTCTCGCACCGCTAATCTCGGAGAAGTGTCTTATGCTCTGCTCGGAGCTCAACTGTCCTTAGCTCTCGTCGGATACGAACTCTGGTGGTCTCTTGCCGGATGAGAACTCTAATGGTCTCAAAGTCAAATTTATATATATCCAGGACTCGGACTTAAATGGAACACCTTGTCGAAGAGTTTCGTTTCGCCCGCTGCTCTGCAACTAACGCAGGAATACGTGTCTGCTTCAAACATTTCGTTTGTAACGGTGGAAACCCAGCTGTTAGACTTTCATCTCCGGGGTAACGATTTCCTAGGAATTGCTGCTCACGAATTGCTAACCGTTGACCAGTGATGGACGACTTATCATCCGGTTTTCAGGCACCACGTCACAATATTTTTAATTTGCCGTTTATATCAACGCGTTGTTCTCTATTATTGCATGGAAGAATTGGAAATTTCCCTTAAATAGTCCTATATACATATACATCAAAGTAATGTTAACATCCTCACTTGAAACCAGTTCACTGGAATGCCCATGGAGGCGCCACATGACAGCTTGCCTGTTGCCGTATGTAAGAACATTATAGTTTTGTATTAAAATTCATTACCTTATCGTAAGCTGGTGGATTCTTGGCCACTGACCCTTGGCTCTGAGTATCCTAGCTGCTCCCAATAATGACGGACGATGAACCGCTGAAAACGCCAGGGCCTTCTGGTAGTAATTCAGTGCTTCCCAGTAACGACCTGAAAGAGCAACGATACGCCCTAGCTCAGTTACTGGTATTTCATGAAGAATTGTGAATGGCGTGGAGGTAATACTCCACAAGTTCTTAACTTTGGATACTGGGTAACCTGACTGGGATTTATTGTAGTTTTCGTCAGTTTCTGCAGGCAAATATTGGAACAGTAACTTAAATTAGGCTATGACCACTTCTTTGCATATCTTTCTGCTGTATTTTTCATCGGTCATTCCGCCTCTGACGTATATTCTAAGCTACTGACAGCGTCACTAAATAAATCACAAATACATAAATAAATAAACGAAGTCCTTGTTTCATGAAACAAAAACAAAACTGTGTGGCCTGTAATACGCAAGCGAACTATACCGACCGAGAGACCGCCGGTTGTCGGCGAAGTTAGTGCCAACTGTAGCGGATAGAGGGTGTCACGTGGTCAGCGCAACGGATCCCTACCGCAGTTAATTTCGGTTCTCTAGACCGCAGCCGCTATTTCCTTGAAATGGCTCTTCAATTATCCTCACGAGGCTGAGTGGACCCCGTTCCAGTCTCACTACTTCTCAGAAAATCTGGTAGCGCCGGGAATCGAAACCGGGACCTCTGGTTCTGTAGGCAGGAACTCTGACCACTAGACCATAGTCGCGATTGTTTTATAAAACAAATAATAAATAATTTGAGGCTGAGTGCTTAGGAAACATGACAGAGGCCCAGGTATTTCTATTTATGTAAGAATAATGGTTAATTCCCTGTATGCAATAAGCAACAAACAGCATTGGAAACACCGAGTGGATTGGGTACAACAGGAACGCTCCAGGCTTGTATTTTATACGTGTTCGGCTCAAGTCATGGACTGGACATCGGTTATTCTGTTTTCATGGTCTTCCTCAGTCCCTCCAGGCAAACTCCGAGAAATTAATTCGATTAGGTCACAAACGTTTCCTTCCAGATTCCTTTCAATCTGTCATTCTATCATTTGACGCTACATTGTCTACGTTACTGACATTCCGTGGCCTGTAGTCCGCAAGCAAACTATACCGACCGAGCGACCGCCGGTTGTCGGCGATGTTAGTGCCAACTTTAGCGGATAGAGGGTGTCATTTGGACAGCGCAACTGATCCTCAGGGCCGTTAATCTCGGTTTTCTAGACCGGAGCCCGTATTTCCTTGAAATAGCTCCTCAATTATCCTCACGAGGCTGAGTGAACCCTGTTCCAGACCCACTACATCTCAGAAGCGTCATAAAATGAAGTACCAACGAAAACACGGGACACAAGCGATAACTTGTCCGAGGGTAAACAGGAAGGGTACTCCGAGCTGGAAACATATTCTGTATACGTTGTACAAAGGAATTAATTATATGTACCGAATAATAATTATTTATATTTAATCATTTACATGAAAGTTTGTGATATGGAAATTAAATGTAGTAACAAAAATAATGCATCATAAATGAGGTCTGAATTTGTAAAAGACCACTCAGAAAGACTGTATGTGTTCTGATATGGCGTTTGGTCATATTCTTTCTCTGCGAAAGCTTTTCTTAGCTCATCAATCATCATTGTAAAGATGAATCACACATATCTGTCTGTTTCCCTTGGGAAAATGATAGGTCTGGCCAACCGGCACGTTTATAGAATCAGTCCTCTGCTTGGACTTCACCTCTGACCCAGAGCCCAACATCGGTTACCTTAAGGTTTAGTAGCTCAGAAGAGAGAGAGAGAGGATGAAACTGCAGTGCCGTTGCAAGCCTGCAAGAGGTTTCAGTTGATGCAACACTGTATAGAGGGCATGCCTACATTAACTAATTTACGAACCATTTCTGAGAAGCCACCAGTCGCTCAACTATTCAAAAATTTCCCAAACTTTTATGCAACTCAAACGTTCATTATCGTGTTCATAATAGCCCTCCATCGACCATATACTGAGCCAGATGAATCCACTCAATACTACCGAATTCTATTTCCCTAATATGTATCTTAATATTAGCCTCCTGCCTAGTTATGACTCTTCCTATTGATCAAGTGATTAAATAGCTGCGTGATGTTAAGGGTGGCATGGGAGGGTTCCCACGCTTCCATAATCTCATCGCCAGTACCTCCTGCCCTACCCTATAAAATGAATTCTTCAGAGGAGCGATTTACACAGCCAAATAAGGGAGATAATAAGAAACTACAATGCTACATTTTTTAACTACTTTATTTCATGGGTTTCCATGAGGATTCAGTCTCGAGTGTTCAGATTTACTCCACAGGTGGCGCTATGGTTAGATACTAAATGTCTTCACAAAATTGTTTCCATGTCTATGCATTCCTGCTCATGTACTTGTTTTGTGAACTAGGTTTGTAGCAAAAATATCTACCTCTTTTCTATCGTAGTTCCACGAATGTGCTTTTTTCTCACAGTTTTTATTTCATATTTTCTTGCTAACTTGCGCTAAATTAGCTTGGTCTTAAGTGATTAAATAACTGCATGATGCCAAGGGTGGGCTAGGTGTTTGGGTCCCACGATATCCATAATCCCTTCGGGGCGACGGAACTAGGCGAGGGAAGTTTTCGAGGATTTCAACTTTGCCTTAGAATATGCAATTAGGAAGGCCCAGGGAAACCAGGTGGGACTGAAATTAAATGGGACACATTAGCTGTTGGTCTACGTCGATGATATGAATTTACTGGGTGATAATGTAGATAATATAACGAAAAACACACAAACTTCAAATGAAGCAAGTGAAGGGGTTGGTCTAGAAGTAAACACAGAGAAAACTAAGTATAACAAAGGACCGCCATGGTTATGACAACTATTCGCCTTCGTCTTCCACAAATCCTACCGCTTCGTTTTTACCTTTACGAAATTCCTGTTTACTTCTTGCTTCGTTTCAAAGTCATTTTAAGACGGACGGTTGGCCAGTCACTTTCTCTTGATTTAGAGCCCATTCAGACGTTCTTGACCAGCTTGAAGTAGCTTCACTGTTTGGCCTTTAATAGGAATCCTTTCTGATGACAAGAAGGGTCTCGTACTTTCTATATTTCGTCCTTCCTCCTCTAAACTGCATGTCACGACCTTTACAACTATATATANTATATATATATATATATATATATACTGCACATGGCGTTTTGGCAATATATATAAGCCCCCTGTCACTCCACAACAGATTCCGCCTTATTTTCATTAGCTCACGCTAGACCCGTAATTTAGTCACCTCGGCGAGCATGAGTTTCACCGCCGCAAAATATTAGCCTCGTGTTCTGTCGGGCTTCCCCTTATTCAGTATTTCGAATATTTCCATTTTCACAATCTTCTGTGGCTTGTGGTTGCTGACCGCCCTACGCCTTGGACTATTGGTGTTGCTGCGGAGAACCTCGATTTATAAGTGCTGCACTTTCGAAACGTGGGTATTTGCCGTAAATCCCAAGGCAAGCATACGACATTGCAGACATAAATAATGCTCTGTGGACGGCACATTTCATCCTAGAGTTTAATCGCTCACTTTTCAACGAAGGACATGCTCTAATATGTGCTGTGAAGGCATTGACTTCTATCAATTCTGCATCTAATCCTCTTATCGAAAAATATACAGAGGTTGTACATGATCCATCTAACGCTCTTGACATAAGATATCATTTCTGTTGTTCCAGCGCTCACACTGCGTCTCAGTCACATCCAGACCTCGCTGCAGAGTTCTGAGAACATACCCTTCTTTGCTCTCGGGCGCATATACATACGTGCCAGCAGTAAACACACCTAGATATACATCAGTATTTTGAGGGGGGGGGGGGGTGGAGGTTCATTTATACATACAATGTACAACGCGTGGCACTCCTTTTCTCTTGGCGTAAACGTTTTGTCTTCGACCGAAACTCTGAATAATCTCTCGGCAAAAATGTGGTAACAGGCTTCAACATACTAACGGAAATTTTAATTTGAACTTATGCGCGCTGTTGTATGGTCCCTGGCTGCACAGAAATCTCCACTGAGTCCTATAGCCGTCCACCTGTACATTTGTCCAAGTACTTGGATTTCTCCTGCCAATCTTCGTTCCTCCAACTGCTCTACCAACACCATAATCTAGAATTGGTACAATAAGCTACAAGTAGCCAAAGTACCAAATGGCCTGTCTCACTCGAATAAAAATAATAATAAAAGAATCCTCTCCACATCCCGCCCCCTTGGCTCCATTTCTCCCAACAGCCATCTAAATATTCTATTTGTATCCCTAACAGATCCTTCAATTTGTCCTACCACAATATCCTTTGTATTCCTCTCCTGTGACAGACATGCCATTGGCTCTTTCTTTACTGTTGTCCTCACTACACCTAAACCATCAGATCAGGAATTTCAGCCCCTAAAAATATTTTGATAATCCACAATATACACTATTCCTTAGCTTAATACCATGTTCAGAATGTGAGGTGTTACTTATGAGCCTTCCTTTCTCAGCCTAAATCACAGATATGGAACGTTTCCCAAACCCCACGTCCCTAAATACAAAATGAATATTCCCTGTGGCATAGCACATCCACAGATACCATCATTGGCGTTTATTCTGCAAGTCAGTAACCCTCAACAGACTCACTTTAAAATATATTACGAAGTAATGAACCCATTTAATTACAGGGATATTGATTATCGAGCAAGTTTTTAACGCAGTAACGCTTCTGGCATCGGTTTTATTCGGCCTCCTCATTCAGCACAGTACCTCATATTAGGCCATGACCACTTCTTTCACATATAGGAAGGAATACGGACTTTGCGCTTTTGATACAATTTACTCTGAGAGATAGGTAAGAATGGTACAAGAGAACACGTAACCTTCACTCTGCGGCGTTATGAGCGACGCTAACCATGCTCTAAATGCGGGCCACGCATTGACAACGCACGACGGTAGAGTCGTGCCTGCATCGGTGGACAGTGCAAATACTCTTTCTCACCTTGCTCATGAAGCCAGGCGGCTAGCTCCGCCAGATGGTCTGGGCTGTTGGGCTGCAGGCGGGCTACGTGACGGAGGAGACGCCCTACAGCAGGGCCCCGTCCCTCTTGACCCTGGTACAGCCTCGCCAGTAGGAGGTAGGCTGGCGTGTACGCAGCGTCGAGACGTACACAGCGCTCCAACATACGAGCAGCCTCCTCGCTGCGGTTCACTTTTCTGTGGAGCAAAACAAATGTCGGTCACTCGGCCCATATGACCTTACAGGCACTGCTACAACTCGCAGTGGCAGTGGCAACACCTCATCTCATGATTACAGCTACTCATTACGATGTGGGGATAAAACGAAGTTTCTCAACTTGCAGTGAAGTCCCTCACTAACCTCCATACGCTCATCTTCCAGTAATTCTGTACTCAACTGATGATACGAAGTAGTGTAGGCCTATAGCAAATTTACCTCAAACGGAGGGAAATACTGAAACGAGCGGTGGCCAAAGGGGGGGGGGGCTGGGGCGTATCCCCCACATTTTCGGAAAAATAATCAAAATTGAAGGAAATTAAGAGTTTTGTCTCTTAGGATATAACGCCTTGTATTCCAGTGGAAGTTGGCGAAGTTTCTTGTTAAATTTTCACCGGACTTCACGGAGTTATATCCCAGCAGTCACAACTCTTCATGGAGAAAACTGCATAATGAGGAGCTTCATTACTGGTACTCTTCTCCAAGTATAATTAGAATGATCAAATCAGAGAGGATGAGGTGGGCAGGGCATGTAGCACGAATGGAGGAGAAGAGGAATGGGTATAGGATATTGGTGGGAAAGCCAGAAGGAAAGAGACCACTGGCAAGACCAAGGCCTAGGTGGGTGGACAATATTAAAATGAGAAAGGATGGGATGGTATTGATTGGATCGATCTGGCTCAGGATAGGGACCAGTGGAGGGCTCTTGTGAACACGGTAATAAACCTTCGGGTTCCATAAAATGCTGAGAAATTCTTGAGTAGCCGCAGAATTGGCGACTCCTCCAGAAGGGCTCAGCTCCATGAGTAAGCAAGTCACAACTCTTCATAGTCACGGCTGTGAGAACCTCAAATCCAAGAAGTTAATATAACAAGTTTGTAAGAAGCGCTTAGTTGCGTTTCCGCGGGAACGTCGATGGAAGAGCCACTTGAGGGCTCTAGTGCTGCTTACAGCGGATATACGCGAACCAAATTCGTACAGATAAAGTATACGTGAGTATAACTCAGCAACGGCGTTCGCACAACTGCGCGCGGAGATAAAATCGTCGCCTTGATACGTTTCTGGATACAGGGCAACATTTACCATTTGGTCTCACCGCTAAATCCAGACGAGGCAAATAAGTCAGGATATGGGCAACTTTACACTTTCGATTCTGCTGAAATAACAAAAATGCGTCATGAAGACCAACCAACATTAAATGTTTATGGCCAAATTAACTAAACGACTGGATGTGATGATGCGACAACGTCACCCGTTTGCTGAGTCATGTAATCCAATGCATCAAACGATATTTAATATCTTCGATATTTAATAAAAAGACTTTTAAGAAATGTTAGTGGACCGACTCTGTGGTCTGCTGATCAGAGTTCCTGTCTACAGGATTTTCTGAGAAGTAGCGGTTCTGGAACGGGGTCCACTCAGCCTCTTGAGGATAACTGAGGAGCTCCCTGAATGGAAAATTAACGGCTCCGGTCTAGAAAACCGAGATTAACGGCCGTGGGAATCCGTTGCGCTGACCACGCGACACCCTCTATCCGATAAAGTTGGCGCTAACTTCGCCGACAAGCGACAGTCGCTCGGTCGGTATAGTTCGCTTGCGGACTAAAGCCACGGAGTTTTTAAGACCTGTTAGAATGGTGTGACACCGGGTACTGTTAATGTTAATGACAAAAACTTATAACATAATCAGAAAAAATAATATTCTATCCTAAATGAGTAAAAAATATCTTAAATGACTTAAATTTGCAAGTAAATTTTCTTGTTGGCCTCAAAACCCCGCACCCTGAAAAACTGTATCGAAAATGACATATGTAAGTCTGTGTTGAAACAGCCTGTGGCATTGAAGTTCAAATATTACTGCATTTCCGTCCATTTCTGCGCAAGTTATCATTCGCATTATCATTATACACTTGTTGGCATTACGTAAGTACAACTGTTTTTGTCGCCGTGCGACCATGACCAATTACGACCAAGCAATAGAGAAGATGATACACCACATACGTTCAAGGCCTTGGAGTTGAAATTTATTTAAATCACTGGATAAGATTAGTTCAAATTATCATTAAAGTCAAAATGTTCTTCAAATTAAAAACCGTTCTCTCTAACTGCTGTTTAGGTCTTTATGGTATTTAGTTGCACTTTGACCCTTTTTTTTATTTTCGCTTAGTGGGGGTGGGGGTGGAGTCCAGCCGGGTCCACTCGGCACGGCGGCCACTGATTGGCCTATTCTACCAGCCCCGGGTTATTACGATGATGGAGAATTTGGTAGAATGAAGATTGGCAGAGGAAACCGAAGTACTCGGAGAAAACCAGCCCCAACGCCACTTTGTCCACCACAAATCCCACTAGATCAGAGCCGGGATCGAACCCGGGGCGCCGCAGTGGAAAGCCAGCAACTAACCCCTTGAGCTATAGCGCGGCCCCTTTGACCCTGTTAATTTCTTAGATGTTATGTACACTTGATATTTGCTGGTGGGTGGATTAGACATAGATATAATTTCTCAATCACTGTCACAAAACTTACATGAGTACAGACTGATAGCCGGATACAACCTCCTCATTATGAGTTCATTTTATGCACTTTGTTCAAATAAAGTACATAAATGTAGCATATATTTTATAAAACATTTTAAACTAACACATATCAATTTATGTACTTTGTTCAAAGGGTAAGAAATTTTAAGTGCCTATAAGATTACAAAATACTCTATACCTTATACGACCAAAACATTTTAGTGTCTTTATTTGCTACAATTTCTATGGTAAACTTCACTCAAAAACACCCCATGACACACGTTCCTTTATCGGATGTGTGAAACACTTCAGAATCAAGACAGGCTCTCTCAGACACTCTCCTTTCGTTTGTTTTATCACGCCCACTATGTAAGCTTCCATAAGATAATACCAGAACGCGCTGGAACAGATGTAAGGAAGACAAATGATGTACAGTGTTAGTTCTGTACCTCATCTCGCGTGCTTCACTGTCACTAAACTGACACAATGGATGCAATAACGTTGCAATTCTTGCTTAGGTAAACAGCCTAACACTTCACATGGCTTTGGCTCCATTCAATTCGGCTTTCAAAGCCACTATCAAACTTAACTAAACCCCTTAAAATCACAGAAAATTCAAATTATCAGGCTACATCTTTCGGTAAGGTCCCCACGATACACAAAATTGACACGAGATAAATCCCAATGATTGTACAGTAATTAGAATAATGGCTCACATCTCAGCAAAATCAATGATGACTGTTAGCCAGAATACTTCGTGTTTGAAAGCTTCCCTCTTGATTTCGAAAACGCAAATAATGTTCAAATTAGGTTATACACCAGTGGTTCTCAACCCTTGTGAGACCGCGCCCAGTAATTTTTTTTATATAAAATGAGGGCCGGGTTGGAGGCCACGGCCGGGCGGTTGAGGAACACTGTTATACACCATTATTTAAAGAAAAAAAAAAAAGCCTCAAGGATAAAAACTGCAATATAATGTTTCAGAAGTCTTAAGTAACCGGAATATATGTTCTTGCGCGTTTATTTTGTGACACTGTCGTTAAGTAGACCCGCGTTTATCGATGGCACTACAGCCCTTTGTTGGGCCCTGACCTCTTCTTCAGTTCGTAATCTTTTTTACGCATACGGTAGGACTCCTTGGACGAGTGGTCAGCCCGTTGCAAGGCGGGTACCTACACTCAGGCCAACATGCACACAGAATAAACGTACACAGACATCTATGCTTTGAGTGGGATTCGAACCCGACCCTGGTGTTAGAGCGAGCCTTAGACCTCTCGGCCACTGTGATCAGTTAATTAACTCTATAGCGTCGAACTCTAGGATGTCTGATGAATCATTTAGGATCTGTAAGTAAAGAGTTGCTGCATTGGTCCCGCATTTGCATGTAGGTACTGAAGAACACCGCGAACTTCAATCAGGAGAGCCGATGTGATGACCCCGTGATTCGAACCGATCACTTCCAGAATTCAAGTCCAAAACGCTACCGCTGCGCCAAAAGATTCGGTGAGAAAATCAATTGTATTTGGATTCTCACCTCTTAAGACGCTGACCCTCTGAAGCATGGAGTTCATCTACAGAAAACATAACGCGTTTCATTATAAATACAAATTGGTTAATGCTGTTTACGGGAAATAATCTTAGTGTACTGGGAAAATTATATGAAAGGCAAATAAAGTAGACTACAATTACAGCTAACCCCATTTGTTAAACCTTTAATCGATAATATTAATCGACTGTGTAATCGATCATTTTGTTTATACGTCGATCTATGAGATAATTTCAAATTGCAATACATGCACTATATATATTAACATAACTATATTGTAGCGTTGCCGGTCACGGTAGCCGAGCGGTCTAAGGGATGCACTGTCTTCGCTCGCTCGGAAGCCGGGATCGTGGGTTCGAATCCCACTCAGGGCATGGATGTTTGTGTGCGTTTTTCTGTGTTTGTGTACAGGTAGAGGCCTTGCGACGAGCTGATCACTCGCCCAAGGAGTCCTACTGAATGTGTAAGATCTAGAAAAACCGAAGTGAACGGAGATCATGGAGGTAGGCCTAGGCCCACTGGGGCTGTAGTGCCAAGGGAAAAAATATTGTAGCGTTACTATGCAACGACCATGAGATAGTACAGTACAGTATACCAGAGCAATTTCTATGCAACGGCTCGGTAAACACGTTCCGTAGCAACAGAGGAACGCTGTTTTCTATGGTCCGCGCAACGGCCGTTGTTACGTAACGGCATGATAAACACTTCTCTGCGGCAACGTATTCAGACACAACAGAAGAGTTGTGTTTTCTGTGTGGTCCGTGACGACGGGTTATAAAAGAGACTGGTTTAGAGCTTAGTCGCATTTTCTCGTCAGAGAGGATGTTACATAAAGAAAATTACCGCAAGAGTTCAGTTGGAAAATTCTCTGGTCGTGGGCCTCTTTGGGCCTGACGCCAAGACGAAATGATTGGCGGTAAA